TACAATGAGCAGTCAGAAATGTCCATGTTAGTCTACAATATACTTTCATGACTGAAGGAGCAGGTGCAGTTGGTGAAATCAATTTTAATTTCTTGCTTTGACATTTCAGAATATCTTCTGTCAAAACATTTGTCATGTTACATAGTGTTGAGTAGAAAATGTTTAAATGCATTTGAGTGTGCTTAATTTAGTTTAACTGCTTTAATGATTTGAACAGTTTAAAATTCAAGGAAACATACATGTTCATGCATCACTAACCACTCTAAGATTCCCTTTTTTGTGCTAGTGGTCAGTGACGAGTTATGTGGTCAATAATGATGAAAAAGGGTTCCATTTTTGCAAAAGTTGCAAATTGAATAACTGGAGGAATTAGCTACTGTATGTTTCTCCATCCAAGTCTTTTATGCCAGAGACGTTTGACTCTCTTCCTTTTTTCTCACCTTCTGTAAAGCTTGCTGAAGGAGTTCATCTGGTGACTTCCCTTTCTCACTTGGCCACACGTTGTACCCAAGAACATCGGGATTTGCTTGTGCTTCAAATGTTCTTTTCCGCTTTCCATTAACATGGTAAAAGGTGTTAGGGTTATCCATGATGAATTCATTCAATTTGACCCCTAGGTCATCAGCAAACCATTGCACAATTCTGTAGGAAGACAAAGTCAGTGGTAGCAGAGTTAGATATATATGATCCCGGATGTTAAAGATAAGGAAAACACATGTTTGCGAGGTTTTCCTTTGATTTGATTTAATGCAAGCCTTCAGTGGATTTAATCTGTATAGTTAAAACTTACCGGTGAAAACTTGGGATCCTCATGGCCCCCAGTTCAGCATACCACCCATCTTTTTCATTTCTGTAGGTTTCAACCCGTCCACCAACGCGACCACTTGCTTCTACAATAGTTACCTTGACAACCACATGAATTAGAATTAGAAACACAATAGTGCCACTAGAATAATGACTGTTATGCAATTGTTTATCCATAATAACAGATGGATTTTAAGATGGACTGTTATGATTGTTGTGCATATGTTATGTAAATGTTGACAGATTTGCGTAACAGATGAAAGTTCCCGGTTAGTTTTCAGAAGGAGTTACAAACCCTTTGAAAAATAACAGGCAGCCAAAATGAATGATAAACACAGATATGTAGAGCCAGAAACTTGTGGGGAAAAAAAAGGGTGGTGTTGTAGTGTTTAGGAAATATCAGTATTAATGGTATTTAGGAAATATTAAAAACAATATTGTTACTGCTTCTGCTGGTACAGCTATTGTTAATGCATGCTCACAAATGGATGTAAATCCCAAAAGGTTGATTCTGTTTATGAGATTTGGGCAAACCTGCAGTCAGCTGAGACTGAAGAAGTCACTTGGATGAGTGACGAAATGTTTCTCTCACTGAAAACGCTACATCCAGATGAACAGAATCAACCTTTTGGGAACTATTGTTAATGTTTTTGCTACTTGTTAGGTGCCATTGCTTCTATTAGATTAATCATACTGATAATACAGTCATCTTTGTAGCCTCTATCCTAACTACACTTGCTAATGTTTGTTTTATTACTTACCATTTATTATTTATTGATCTACCTTATTTTTAAGTTTTACTACAACTACCAAGTTTTATGCAAAGCTTAAAAACAAGGGCTGCCTTTGCTCCTCCTGAGTGGAACACTAGCAACTAATGAACTATTACTTTATCCAAAAAATTAGAAAAACGATGGAGAATTGAAGTGCCCAGTATTATAGGAAGGCTTTGACACTGACGATGGTGGTGAGCCATGGATGGTTATTGTGAATATTGTTTTTGATGAGAAACTTTGCTGTGAATCTCATGGAAATAGTACAGAAAAAAGAAAAGGGGGAAGTAAAGAATCATGATACCAAAATCCCCATAAAGGTGATAAAGGTGTGTTTTTAAAATGTCATAAGTTTACACTGTTAGAAAAACGTAACTTA